TACAACAAGGTGTTTTATTCTGTAGGCTCACTCAGGCAATATCTGTTGTTCCTCTCTTTGCTTCGGACTTGTACATTGCATGAGTCAGACGAAACAAAGTGCCAAAAGTTCCAAAGTGTCAAAAATCAAGATGCAGAGAATCACCGAGATATGATTTATCCTTGTACATTTATCAGTGTAAAAGAGTTACTGAGGTAGCTTTCAGAAGCAGCAAATTATTATACCTAATATAATGAAGATGTATTTCCATGGAGCATTTGTGACAGCTTTTCATCTTATATGACAAGAATACTTCTGTATTATATCAAAGTAAACTCTTAAACTCATATTGAATAAATTGTTTCTTAACTTAATTTACTTAATCTCAAGGTTATAAATTCACATTTTCTTTTGCTTATAATTTTTCCAACAGTTTGATATTTTTCATGCTTTGATTGACCTGTATGCTCTGAAGTAAGTATTTTTACCATTCACAAAAGTTTTTTAGCTCTCTTCTCATTTACTTGGACACTCAAAATAAATTTCTGTCATTGAAACATTTTGGAGGATGTGTATTTTATTTTCTTGCTTGCTTTCATAACCCCAAAATAACTTCAGTTTGAAACTCTGAAACTTGGCATCTTCTTACTTTGGAACCGGATGTAATTTCTTTGAGTGCTCAGAAAGAAAATTATCTCTGAAACAGTAAAACTGTCCACACTATTTCCCACATGATATGTATTTGCAAAGGAGTCCATTAGTTTGGAGTGGCAGTCCTGAATTCATGGGAAATAACCATGAACAGTCATTTTTGCTATCCTCAATCCTCAGAGAGAGGACTAATGGATTTTGGAAAGGCTGGTGCAGGAAGGGATGGAGTTCTGGGATGTGTCGTCCCACATTTTCTGCATCTCTACCCAGTTTTGTGTAACAAGATGAGACAAGTTACTATGCATGGAAAGTCTGTAGTATCATAGCCCAGAATACAATTATAAACTGAAAGACATTTGGCATGAGGTAGAGGTCAGAGTTGGACTTAAGAGACAAGGATCAGAGAGTGATGAGCAGCAGATGGTTTGGGGATTAATTTATGTATTCATATGGCTTTGTGTGAATTATGTCAGATAATTAAGAGATCTGAAAAATACATTTGGTCAGTTTCAATTAAGTTACTGTTGTGTTAAATAGAAAAAAAAATCTGTAAATGGATCACACAACAAAAGCTGCTAGTTTTTGTCCTCTCTTTTCACTCCCCCATTATTTTGATTTTCCTTTTTTATATAGCAAATGTAGGGTTCCTTTTTTTTTTCTTTTGGTGAAATCATAGTTGTACACAATTGTGGATAAGCAAAATGGATAATGTAGCGAAACAGATTGAAATAGCTCCTGAACTGTAAGTCGAGCCATCCATGTGTGGATAAATTATGATATGTTCTGGTTTGTTGATTAATTTCACCATAATGTCCATGCTAAACTTGGTGCCAACTTCAGCTCTATGGTGATGGGGGACATTAGCCATGGGAGAGGAAAGGAGAAAGACGTCTTCTCTCAAGGAAGGACGTGATTCCACAAAGCAGTTTAAGAGAAACAAAGACACAGAAGAGAAGGGACAGAAACAGAAATGACCTAAAGGCAAGCTGTCTCTCTTAGTAAGTGATACTGATCGTGCAAAGCACTGGGAAACACCTGCAGTTGTGAATGCGTAAATGTACTGCTACCGTTCATTCTCTGTCACCTTTGTGTTTGTCCTCTACAACTTCTATTCATGCGGCTTTCACATTTTCCTCTACAAACTTTGTGACATCATGAAACTTCATCAGAGATAAGATGGTCTTGATCTTTCACCTGTCAAGGAAGCTCCTTTCCCTTCTCATCAGAGGTGAGTGTTTCTGGCTCATCTTCTTCCTTGGTGGGCTTTGGTACCCAGACAGCAGCTGTTGCTTCAGCCAGCGTTATCTCTTGGAGCTCTGATCCACAAGCATCCAGAACCTCCTTCCAAGCCCTGACTGACTTGAAAAGCAATAAAGCTAATTCAGAGATATAGAGCACATGCTCCCTGTCCTTTCTGCCCATGCAATGCATCCTAATTAACTTGAAAGGAAAGCTTTGCAAACAATTGCCAGCCAGTATGAAAATGGGAATGGAAAAATAAACTTTTCTTTGATCCTTTCTTCTTCTGCAAGAAAAACCTTGGCAGTTAGTTCCTTCCTGTGCAAGGACTTCAGACCCACTCTCCCCTTGTCAGACTTCCTCCCATTACTTAGAATGCCACCCAACATCAGGTGTGAAAGTATGTTAAAATGAGGGTTTTTTTCAGGCTTCTGTTAATGCTCATTCACTGAGTGGGTGATTTTGCAGTCTGGTGGCCAGGGCATTCTCCCAGGAGGTAGAACCTGGGCCTGTTCCCTGCCCCAGTCGATGTGTAGTCATTCATAGAGAATGAAAAGCATCAAGAGCAAAAACTCGCATTCTAGTCTAGTCTATCAGCTGATGACTACAGCAATTCCTCATTTTTTGCATGATATGGATTCAGACTGTGAAGGTAGAGAAAATACCACAGCCCTGGCCTGCCCCATCTTAAGTGAGTTCTCTTGTTCTTCAATAGGTCTGTGATGATCTAGTCAAGACTCTTGAAAGCTTATTTTTAAAATTATTCTCAGCACAACCCCAAATTAATTTCCTAATTAATGTGATTTTTGTGTCTCTTTTCTTTTGTTCGGTTTTAGATATAAGCTTTATTATTAATATTTTAGCACTGTGAATGCTCTCATTATGTTCATTATTGCAAAGCAGAGGGCTGTGTATACCAAATCAAAAAAAATCGGTTCCTCTTGTCTATTAGGCTGGTGTACAGAGAATTATAAATATCTTCATATTCTGTCAGGTCTTGAGTAATTTATTTCTCAGCAACATTTATTTTGTGCAAAATGAGTGGGTCTTTGTTCCTTCTTGTCTCCTCCGCCTTGGTTATTAGTGTGCCCTTGACTAACCAGCCTTTCCCAGGGAAGAGTGGTTTGTCTAAATAATGTGTTTATTTTACCATTTGCAAATACAGCTACCCGAGGTAATTCACCCTGAAATGAGAAAGGAGGGAAACTTCTCGAAGGTGAGAGCTTCCAGAGTTTCTTTGCTTGTTTTTCCGGAGGATAGCAAAGCCCCAAACTCAGCAAAACACATATGCCCATGTTGGAAATCAACTGGTTTGGAACTTACGCACAAACTAATGTCAGCTCCTGTTCAGCAAACCGTATTAGCCCATGCTGAAATTTTAACATCTGTTTACATCTTCAGTTTATTCTGTGCCTATTTAAGATTAAGACAAATTTATCTCTTAGCTTCTTGAACTGCCCTTCTAGTCATTAGATTTGTGTGTTTTATTTGGAGGAATTTGGAGACAAGCTGGGAAATAGGAAACACATATGTCACGGCTAATCTCGATTTAAAGGAACACTTTGATGCAGTTCCATTTTATGGACTAGTTAAACTAAGGGCAGCAGGGGATCCTGCTGGAACCATGGGAAAGGATAAAATCTTGGCCAATGGACAAAACAAAACACAGAAGGGGAAATGGATTTTTGCCTAATATGGAGAAAGGGGAAACACTGATTATTCCCCCTCTAAAGCCTATTGTTGTTACCTGTCCCTAATAATGATTGAACCTTGTGAGATACAAGTGAGCTACATGCATTAAACCTGCGCTCATCCAGAACCCTCTGGAGCTGCAGGCAAATGAATGGGCCAGTATAAAGGGGCACTAATTCTGACCCATCAAGTTTTGAGGCAACCACAGCATATATCACATTTTTATCTGAAGGCATGGCTTTTGGACTTCAGTTTGAAATGGTATTTAAACCCCCTGACTCAGGAAAGTATTTCACAATCAGCAGTTTCAAAAATAAGTGGGATGATAAGCTACAGTAAAAGTAGTCAAAAATGATTGCCTGGAGTTGTACAACAGCTACCCGAGTGTATTTAATACGTGAAGCTGGGCAAAAAAAACAGTGTTTATGAACATGGAAAATAAGAGCAGTGAAAGAATAAACAAAGTCTTTTTTTTTTTCACTCTCTGCTATAGACTTTTTCCATCCTACTCTGCAGAGAATCACATCTTATTTGACACAACTGCAGCAGCCAAACTGTGATATGTTTTGCAGAGGGACTACCAGTAGCACACGTCTGGCACACAAATGCTTTATTTGGAATATTCCAGATATCTGATTATGCCTTAGCATTTAGGAGGAACACTTATTATACAGAAACAGAAGTAAGACTGTTCTGCACTGCCTTTAGTTCCTCTCTATCATGACTTATCTATTGAGATGAGGATTAGAAGGATGAGTGGTTTCAGTGAATTTTCCTGGTTCATTGTAGATCCTTGTAATGTTCAACATAAGCTGCTTTCAGTGTAATTACATTGTTATGTAATTGACTGTACTGAAAATGCACTCCAAAGATGCAATGCTGGAAAATACTAATGGGATAGTAACAGCTAAATGTTTAATTCACTGTTTGCAAAAGCATGTTTTTGTCTATTGGTTCCTTTTGATGATCCCTGAGCATAAATATTTTGTGTAGCCAGGGCAGGAATACGTTTTGGCCAGTGATTATAGTTCTCATCCAGCTGAATTTATCTATGCATATGCATGTTTTTGAAGGATGATATTAGATAGCTCTGAAACAAACATGGCGACCATGGTGCTACTTCAGAGCCATTTGGGGGAACCCAAGGCCAGAATTAAACTCATCAAAGAGGGGAACCATGTATGCAGAGAACGTGAAAATCTTTGGTGGTACTTAACTTGACAGTCTGCTAGAAAAAAAGGAATAGGTGAGATGTTTTGCAGCTCAACATCAAGCATATAAGACACGTTACGCTTAATTTCCTTGCATGTGTCTCCAAATATACTGAATTGGTTTAAATGAAGGAATTAATGAATTTACTGAAATTATGAAATTATATATGAAATTATGAAATATACCATTTTTATCTCTATAGCTCTTTACAGGTAAGACTGACTAACGGCGGATGGCAAGCCCAAGGCCTTGAGCGCCTGCAGGAGGAAAACCGCTAAGCCTTGCTCCAGGCCCACTCCTACAACACCCAGCCCCACGGTGCCAGTGTCCCAGAGGGACCTCAAGGGTCTTTCTTCATCAAACACCAAGCTAGGGCTGCAGGGGCTGTTTGTAGTGGAAGGTGCAAATTAGAGGGTGCAAATAGGCCAGAAGCTCCCTGGTGGGCAAAGAAGTGTGAGGTGAAACTTGGAGTCTTCTCAAATTGGGAGTCCCATAGGAGGAGAACTGAAAAAAAGAAAAGGTCATTTCCAGCAGGCCTAGAAGAGTGTTTTTTCCCAATTACATGGAATCACAGAACAGTTTAGGTTGGAAGGGACCTCTAGAGATCATCTAGTCCAACCCCTCTGCTCCAGCAGGGACACCTAGAGCACGTGGCACAGGGTGGTGTCCAGGTGGGTTTGGAAGATCTCCAGAGAAGGAGACTCCACAGCCTCTCTGGGCAGCCTGTTCCAGGGCTCTGTCACCCTCACAGTAAAGACGTTATTCCTCACATGGAGGTGGAACTTCCTGTGTTTCAACTTGTACCCATTACCCCTTGTCCTGTCACTGGGCACCACCAAGAAGAGTTTGGCCCCATCCTCTTTATATTCTCCCCTCTGGTATTTGCACACATTGATAAGATGCCCTCTCAGTGTTCCCTTCTCCAGGCTAACTGTTGTATTGGAAATTTTGACAAAATGTTGGAATTTTAACTATGTTAGTAGAAGTAAGCTGCTTGTTCCCATCCCATGTTAATACTGTATTTGGCATTGAAATGATGACATTTTGCACTTGGATTCCTGCGTAAACTAAATCACTTTGCATTACACTGTTGTTTGTATATTTCTACTTAATTTATTTATTGAAGTTAATTGTTTATATCAGTCAATTAGCATAGTGTCCAAACTCCTTTGGATCATGTATACCACGCTGCGAAGCAGAATAGCTTTGCCCACTGAAAGCAGTTGAGATTTCTATCTTGTGCTTAGCTGGGAATACCATGGATCAAAAACAGGTTCTAGAGAAACTTTAGGTATTTTTAATACCTATTTTAATAGGTATTTTTATTGAAAAGAAGGTATGCAGACATCTACAGAACCATAATATATTACACAGTGTATATCCTATATAGAGAGCATACATTTAAAAATGAAGACTGAAGGACATTTTCCTGCTTAGGTTCCAGCAAAACCAACAGGTGGGAAACAGCAGGCTATTTAAGGGCTGAGAAATGAACAGAAATACTATTAGACTCTGGCCATATTTCAGTGAGTAAACAATCCAGTCTGAACTCCGTAGTACTATAATACACTGTTCTAAAGGCTAAACATAGTCGGAGGTGAGGAAAATGCTTCCTCTGATGATTTTACAGTCATCTCCCACATTCTAGTGATAAATTTATCTCAAACCTAAGTATGAAGAAGGAAAAAAAAAAGCTACACATCACATTTGCGATGTAAGAAAAAGAGGCTGCGATTTATTAGAGTTTGGTTTCGTAGCCGTTTCCTGAAGACGAAGCTCAAATCCCCGCACCTGCGCACAGCGGAGCCCAGAGACGGAGCTCGGAGCGAAGCGGGGTGCGTGGCAGGCGGGTTACCTCCCGCAGGCCTCGGGCTTTGGAGAAGGGGCTCTTCCCGGCCCTCCCGCCAGGTGGCCCAGCCATGTGGTTCATTCTGCAGCACCTTCTGCAGGGAGTTTGCAGCGCAGGCTGGGCAGGTAGTGCAGGAAACGAGAGCTGAAAAATATGTGTAGCTTTCTCCTTTCTAAAGGGCTTCTGGGCTTCTCTGTGGCTCTGTTCTTTTCTTTTACATTTTTTTTGGACAGTGATTAGTTTTCCTCATTACAGAACAATCCAGATGCTGTTTACACAAATGTGATAACAAACACAAAAATAACTTTGTCTTTGCTAGAACTTGGCATCCTCCTGCCCTGGCTCAGTTTACATGAGCTAGGTGACATTTTTTCCCTGAGTTGATTTCACACGGAGGATTTAAGGGTAAAGGCACAGCACTAAGCAGATTATCACCTTACAATTTGATTGCTAAGTATTTACTACCTACATCTTAAAGCCCCTCTGGAGACAGATGATTACATTTTCCACCCTCTGTGAAAATAAGCCTCCTCTCTTCTCCACGATTCCTTTTCTATGGAAGCAGATTTGAATATCTGATTTGCAGAGAGACTTGCTGTGCTTAAATCACTGCCGTATGTTTCCTTTTGTGGTATCAAACAAGGATAGGAAAATAATCAAACTGTCTATAACACATTAGTTAGCCCTCTTAATTTACAGGGCTGAATGCAGCCAAAAATACCATTTCCACCTAAATTGACCCTTGCCCCAGCACTGTTCTGCGTTGCTTCAGGTGTCATGTGAGCATGTAATAATATTCCCAGGAACTCGAGTTGTCTCTTTATGGTCGATGCTGTAATAAATAAGACAGCATTTTTCAGGTGGATGAATCCTTGTGAGACTGATTTGCAAGGGCACCCTTGATTTTTGTGGAGGCATATGACAACATCCTCCCTGCCATTTGGCTTGTGTTAAAAGAGACGTGTGAGGGAATGAATGGAGCTTCCCAGTGTGACAGCAGCAGAACCCTCTTCTAGGATGTGGCCTTTTCATATTTTCAGATACAAAATCCACCTCTTGTCCCAGTTTGAACCTCTGGACCTCCTGTTACATGAACCTCTTGAGAAGTTGTGCTGGAGAGCTTGCACAAGCTTGTTAGAGCCCTAGTGTTTGGATACCGACATCCAGAAAACCTCATCTTGTTTAGTACTTCCAGCTGAGGGCAGAAAGATTTCCTTCTGGCCTGGAATAACTTCAGGGATATTAGCCGAACATTCGCAGTCTTATTGCCCAACTGAAACGTGTAAGTAATTGATTAACGCCCCTTTTATGCAGCTTCTTAGCTAACGACTTGAATCTGGGCACACAGCAGATTTCCCTGACCATGCATATGCTTACAGTGGAGACTTCCACCACATGGTTGTGCTTGTAGGATTGAAAAAATTGTATGAAACAGCTCGTTTTATTACATGCTTAAGTTGTGGTTTGACAAGATGATTTAAAGAAGTGTCGCACACCATAGCTCACAATTACAGATTGAAAAGCGCTAGACACAGTCACTCTGCTGGTTCCGACTGGTTCAGAAGATGTAGGCAGGAGGAATGTCTCGTCCTAGGGTTGCACAGACTGCCTAACTTGCCTCGCTTTATTTTGGATAAGATATGCCTTGTCCTCCAGCACCTGGCATAAAAACAGCATATACGCCATATTTTCCACTCAACATAATGCAGTGCTGCTCACATCTGATATCTTCAGATTTGTACTGCCAGGTGATCCAATAACGCAGATTTTGTATTTGTTACCATGACTAATATAGCTTTTAAAGGAGCATCTAATCCAAAATCAACAAAACTCCCCCTGAAGCCAGTAGACTTTGGATCAAGGAAGGGTCTCATCTGCTTTGCTGCTCTTTCTCCTCCAAATTAGAACAGACTGGAAGACTTAAGTGGTTTTAAAAGAATACTTTATTTCTTAAGACAATAGCTTTAACTTATTCTTCTCCTGAAAAATATTGTAAAACTGCCTTTCCCATACACAGCACATAGTACATTAACCATCGTGAAAAAAACTCTTATAAATATAAAAAAACCCATATTTTAAATTTACACTGATACATCTATAATATTTTTGAAGAATTATAGTTTCTAAAGAAAGAATCAATCAGTGTGGTTATTCATCTGTTCTTGCATTATCCCTGGGAAGAGGGGGACGGAGCCTGCGACGAGATGTGATACCTGTTATGAGAACAGCCCTTGGCTTGAGGAAGACCTTGGCCTCAGGCAGGCAGCTAATGCCTCTAAGGCTAATGCATGTCAGTGGTATCTGCTTAAGCTACAAAACTGAGACGTAGTTTGGGATTTCAAAGGCTTCAAAGTATGGGAGCGTTTGGATCTGGTTTTAGTTTTCACCTGGCTTAATTACAATGAAATGTTAGCTCAATCTGCTATCTTTTTTTTTCCTGGTAGCAAATCTGAATACATTTGTAGTTCTCTTGACAATGATACTGCTCCCAACTCATATCCACGATAAAGCATGTGACTGAAGGAAAAAAAAAAAAAACAACAAAAAAACTCTCACTAAGCTGTATCTAAGACCTATTCAGAAGTGTATTTTGATTCTTGAGATACATTGCCCTACATTGTCTGCCCAAAGGTGGGCACCTGCCAGGCCAAGTGAGGTCTGCCTTATCAAGATGTTCACGGAGGCCAGGACGTTTTGTATCTCAGGTGAAACTGCATTACCTCATCTTTCCAAATGCTCCTTCACCTGCTTGAGCTCATGCTCTGGCAACAGGCGCACCACGTGAGACAGGCCGAAGCCACAAAAAAAAGAGTGCAGGTTCCTGTGGGAGTCGTTAATGCTGTAAAAACAGTATGCAGATGTCTGCAGCATTTTATATGGGTTCCTGCAGACTCTGCTTCTCTGTGACTTGATGCAGCCCCGCAGCTCCACATCATTAAACTGTAAACCAGACTGGAGATGGATTGACTCTTTTTTTTTGCCATTCCTATACTTGCTCATAAAACGAGCTCACAGTATACACTGGGAATCCAATGTACCAGAGCATGAAGTAATAACTAAGAGGAACCATTGCACAGGAGGACTAGTGATATCAGTTAAGCTCCTCTAAGATTCACTTTTTCTCTGCACAGGCTCTCCAGTAGCCTAAAAATATTTGGAGTTTATAATTTGTTGAAGTAGATCTTACTCAGACTGTGGTTTTATTACCTTGCACATGCTGAGAACACATTTTTGTGGGGACTTGAGAGTAACAGCAAAACAGTGCACTTCTCTTGGGGAGACAAGGCTGCAGCTAATTGACTATTGCCTTTCAGCCATGGTAAAGAAAAAATCCAGTTCTTGGGGGAAGGAGAATTACGCTTACCCTAAAACAGGTAGAACAAGAGAGCAAAGGTAGCAGGTTCAAAAGAGAGTTCTAGTTTGCTCTCTTGACCACAGAGGCATGGAGCCTTAGACCTGAGGGTTAAAAAGTGCAAGGGGAAAAATTAGAACAATTTAGGTTCATGTAGCAGGTGTATGAAGCACAGCGAATAGGAGAATATTGAATGATGATAGTACGGACTGATTAAGCCCAAACTGGTTGCAATATTGAGGCTCATTTACTCCATCTGTCCTCCTTACTTCTATACAAGATGCAAATCCTCCAAGATTTGCATTAGGTCAATAGTATTTTCCATTTTTTCTTGGCTGACTAGAGTTATGGTTCTTATCAAAGATAGACATCAATTTCTTTAGTAATTTAATTAAAAACCAAAAAAATACAAGCTCTGTTTTTAACAAGTTCCCTAGCTGCTTACTTAGTATTGATGAATGAGAAGGGAAACAAAAGAGCTGCAGAGGAGGTAAAAGGTCTCTTAATCTGAGGAACAAGTGAGGAGATGGGAATCTGAAACAGAGCTGGAGCCTGGTGAGAAGAATGAGGACTCAGGATGGGTAGATAGGGAAGGGTGGAGGGACACAACCCAACAGCAAGCACAAGTATGAGGAGTAACAGAGAACAAGGGACAAATCCATCATGCTCAGGGATGAAGAGAAGGTGAGAGGACATCTAGATCCATAGGCAAAGGGAGGGCAGTGGGGGAAGCTGGAGCACACAGACACTCTGGTGCATGATGCAAGGAGACAGCCCTAGGAAAGTGAGTGCCTAACGAAAGCTCTGAGGCTGGAGGAAAACATTCACGGGTGTTTCATTTAGACATAGTAAAAGCAATTTTAAAAAATTAAGGCATCACTAAATAGTGGAGGAAGAACCAAACTGTGCAGGGCCTAGGTGTAAGGAATAGACAACTCAGAAAAAAAATGAGAAGAAAAATTCTTCAGATTTAATAAATAAATTTTGTATTGTAGGCGAGTACTGACAAAGAGCTTAAAGTATTCTTGAAGGGTGCCTTCTCAGATGGCCTGTGCTCCTTATCAGCAAGAAATAGGGGTAGGTTAATTAAACCCCTCCAACTTAGGCTAAAAGTGTTTTTTTAATCTAAAATATATATATGTATAGAGAGAACAAAAAGTCAGCTCAAACAGGCTGAAAACGTGTTTTTTTTAATCTTCTGGTTTGCCCAAAGAGTTCACAGATCAGTCTGAGGCTCTGACACAAGAGCTGCAGCGACTCCACAAGCTGCCATCCACTCGCACGTGGGCCTGCTAAGAGGCAGCTCTCCGCGTGGGGAAGCAGATGAGATGCTCACACGGTTCCTGACGGGTGCCACAACTTCCCTGCTGCAACAAAACTCCTTGGCATGGCTTGGAAATGCATCCAAGGCCGTCCTGGTGCTGCTCGCCCAGGGATTTGATGGGCTCACCCGAGAGGAGCGCCAGCGCGGTTCATATCGAAGTGCTGCCGCTGATCTGGTCCTGGGGGCTGCTCTAAATCACGCTGGTTTGCAGGACGGGTCCTCATGCCAAAAGGCATGTTTTCAGCAGCGCACGCACTAACCGTGACCTCTTGCTTTCGGCAGGCACGTCTCTGACACCGGAAAGAGGCCAAAAAGCAGCGCGTAGGGCCAGCTTTGCTGACTCACCCGGGCCGCACGTCCTGCCACACGGGTGAGATCCTCAGCTGACCCGTGAGCAGCGCGAAGGCGGGTTCTCCGGGGCCTCCTCCATCTCCAACTCAGAATTCCTCAGGCTCGTTTCCATACGGAAAGCTGATCAGCTACTGCTGGGTGTACATGGTTAAAAGCAGACAGCGAGGCTAGCACATTTTGAGTTTTCAACTTGAAAGCGAAAGGCGTATCAAAATTTAATGGGAAGAAAAAGGGTCAGAAATAACAATCCATCAAATTAACCATTTCAAGCATTTCACTATATTATCAACCATTAGCTGGCTGGGACTTCCTACAGTACTCCTCTTTATACTGAAAACACAAAGGCTGGTTGAATATGACCATACAGGCAGATGATGGAAAAACTGGACAGATTTTATGCATACTTGCTCATGATTTAGGCTGTAAAACCAATGCACATGCAGGCAAAGATACACACTGCAGTCCCACTTTCCACTTTGGGCCACTCTAACTCACCATTTCCATTCCAGATGTTTATTTATTTTGTTTATCTCTTCCCATCTTTTCCCAGGACACATGGTTGTTCTCAAAATGATTCCTGTCCCCCGCCCGCCCCTTAAAACTCTGCAATATGTTAGAAATCATTTCTCCAGCCAGGACAATCTGTGTAATAATTTCTGTGTTATGAAAACATACCATCTACTCAAACTTTGCAAAAATCAAAGTACTCATTCGTTATTTTCTCTGTAGTCTGCTGGGAGATCTAAAAGTCATAAAAGTAAGGCTCTTGGTGCCTTGGGAGGACTTTTATTGCCCAGAAGAGAAGTTTGTATTGAAGCTTAGTGGAGACAAATTCTGTGTATGTGAAGATGCATCCTGTTTTAAAACTTGATAAATAGTTTTCTGGTGGTGGGAAATTTTCCTGGGACATGACATGCACCAAGAGGGCAATCAAAAGACACTAGGCCTTGCAAACTGGCTCTGATCTGTTTTTCTGCCCTCACTCCAATTATCTACAGTGGTCCAATAACAGATGCTTGAGTTTACACGCTTTGTGGAGGAAAGCTCTACCTGCAGGTCTACGCGGTGTAAAACAGCAGCTGTCCCTGTCACGGGTTGGAGCCTGGACCAGCGCGGAGGGCCGCAGCGCGCGGGGCGGCCGCCTCCGACCTGCAAGCGGGACGGCTCTGCGGGCTGCCATCGTGGCACGGTTGGTACCCTCTGCCTTGAGCAGAGTCAATGCAGCATCAGGAAAAAAAAAGTCGACCAGAAGGAATCACTTGAAAAAGTGAGCACCTCGTTTCTAAATGCCGAAATGCTGGATCCTACAGTGGGGCATGGCCCACGATCCCGTAACGACGACGGCAGAAATGGCTGCTTGCAGTCCTGAAAGTAGAGTTCCTTCGTGCTAAGGAAAGATGGGACTCCGAGTTTACAGCAGCGATCAAGCTTTTTAATAGCCCTTTTCAATTGTGGTTTGTAGTACGTAAAAAATAACTGCACAAGCACTGGTTAATTTAGAAAAGCTTGTTCTGAGGGGAGATCTTGCAAAATGCGAGGAATAATAAAATGGAGACATTTTTACATTGTGCCAGGAAAACTCCAAATTAAAAAGAGAAGTCTGGCTCCACGCCGGACCACCAAAATAGAAACTAAAAATAGTGCTCCAAATACAGTCCCATAAATTGATTCATATCAACATGGTTATCCTGTAAGCAAAAATGAGAAATGATTTAAAAATTCTGATTTAACAAGGCTTTAAAGATCCCGCTTGTATTGTAGACCATCTCCATTAACGGAAAAGCCAAGACTTATTTCTTTGTTAGCACATGTAGGTACATGTGCTGTTATCAAGTCGTGTGTAACTAACTATGGCAAGACAATTACAATGGGCTTCTACTGCTTTACAGTAAAGGAAGCAGAATTTTTGTACAGACATAATTCCTACATTAATTGATTTTCCTTTCAGGGATTAAAAAGGAGCAAAAACATCTTCAACAATGATTTTTTTCAGTATCTGTTTTGTTCTACGGAAGTTGCTGTTTTTTTTCTTGAAAAGAAAAACAACATTTTATGGTGTCACAAGTGGTTAAAAATAACGTCTTTTACGATGAGAACACCGAATTGGAAATGCTTTTTAAAGTAAATAAATGTACTCAGGTGTGATGCTGAACTTAGGAGGCCCATCAGCTGAGGAAAAAAAAAAAGAAGAAAGAAAAAAAGAATAATCTTTTATGTAGTTGCTGTAGGAGCAGCTTCAAACAAAATGAATTCAAACACATTTTTTGGCATAACCCTGAATGTAAGGTCATGTGGATAAGTTTTTTTTGTTTGTTTGTTTTGTTTTGTTTTTGAAGTAGCATGAGAAGTAGAAACTTGTATTGCAGAGAAAAGCATGTTGCCTCAGAGGACAGGAAACCTACAGCAGGAGCAAAATTAACTAGCCAATACAGGAAACAGTGTCACGCATTACCTGGCAGAGGTATTAAGAGATGTTGAAGGAATCTGTATCCAGAAAAGAATAGAGAATAGAAAAAATATATATATTTATATAAATCACTAGAATATTTGGAAATTATGCAGATTAATTAGTCCATCTTTAAATTTAGGGACACTTCAGAGGGCCATAGTTTGACTGCACCTAACAAAATCAGATAAAAACCTAGCACAAACAAGATCAAAGTACCCTATGTGGAAAATAAATCATCAGTGTATCTTAGAGGCGTCTAATCAGTCTCTATACAGGGCATCACCACTGAATGCTTCTTGGAAACTTCTAGAGAAACAGACAAAATTATTAACACAAAGACCATAGTAGAAACTGTAATAGAAAATACAGCAGTGAGAAGTATTTATACGCTGCACTTGAAAATTGGACCTGTACAATGCATCTTCCCTTTCTCATTTCCAAGCTGGCTCTCAGCGCTGACTGCCTGCAGCACGATGCGCCGCAGTATCCAGCAGACTCTGCAATTTCCTCACTGCTCAAAAAGGGCTTCCGAGCAAACAGCAGGGAGGTCTTCTGTAGCAGGGATATCTTGTGTAGGCAGCATCGACCACGCTTCCGCAGGCCTCGAGAGGGCCTGAGGGGTAGTGAGCAGACTCCTCCTCCTGCCCAATACTCCAAAGCCAAACGTCTCCACAAAGGCAGGGATGGAAGGCAGGGAATCTACAGCCATCCCACAACATCCTCCCTTTTCCAGAGCGCTGTTTGTCGTGTGGATGTGGGTATTCCCCCAAGTCCTTATGGGAGACCTTATGGGTGAGGGTCATCTAACTATGTATCGGTCACCTCTCTCATCCATAAATACCTAAGATTGCTCACTCTTCCTCACTAGACTAGCAGGATGTTTCTGGCTTTTGAGTGTGATCCTGCCTACTCAGAGATAGTGCAGTAAGAACAGGGAAGGATCATGTAAATTGAGGTCTGTACAACTCTAGCCTTCAGACTGATGTCCAAAATCACTCTTATTTAGGAACGGCGTTTTTCCTCACACAATTTTGAGGATAGTAGGGAAGAACTGAAGAACAGGTCCCTCCAGGCCCTTCTGCTTGTTGTTTGTCAAGTACTTAACTAACAAGCCCTCTGGAAACCTGTGGCGGACTTTCACAGGCATGGTAACAGCCATCCACATTACTGATAATGTTGTACTTTGAGCAAAGCAAAGGGACACACAGAGCTGTCCAGAACCAGCCTTTCAAAGCTTAGGTCCAACATTTGTCTCATTTTAATTTTTGAACCAAAAGGTCACCACATCAAATGCATCCACAAGCTCAAGGCAATGCCCCAATCTCAATAAGTTACCTCTGCATTCTGAAAAAAAAAAAAAAGGAGAGGCAAAGTAGGAGCCTTTTTGTTGTTTATTTTTGGTTTTGTTTGTGTGCATGTGGCTGGTGAGGTCAGATAGTAGAATGGACCATCTCACCGAGACATATTTTGTCAGATTCTTGTTTCCTCCTACCAGAGCAAAAATCAACCCATGCCCATGACATAGGGCAATGCCAAACTCACAATGCTCTTACGAGCCTCAAGGCAATACAAGCTACAGCAATAAACACTTCACCCTTCTTGGGCCTCCATCACTGTAAAATGTTATTCAACTAGTTGACACCTTCATTGCTTGGACAAAGCTTAGTGGCAGTCACCACAGTTTTCCTACACTGTTGAGGAAATGTCTCTGCCAGTCTTTCTCACCGGGCTGTTGACCAGCTTGACCAATTCCCTCTCCTAGCAGCTCCACAGTGCAAAATGTCAGGAACACAGATCAAGAGCAGCTACAAGCCAGCACCCAGCACACATCTCAGACCAAGAGGTCGGTTGTTGTGAACCACTCTGCAATCAGGAAAGCTGATCTCTTCTTCTCAACATAATTTTCTGAACAACTGGAACAACTACATTTTAACACCTTCCTAATACAAGAAACAGGTAAAGTGCATGCTTATCAGATCCCCTCCCTTAGGTAAAATAAGGGCTGAAATTGTATACACTGAGTTGTGTAAGCGAGGAATAACGGACGAACTTGCACGGCTCTCAGCAATGCAAGTGTTGTAACACGCTCCCATCCATACTTCCCATGCTCTCAGATGGACAGAAAGACTCCAATGGTTTTAAATGCTTGCTAACAAAGCCACAAAACTTTAAATAATCCTAACATGCCGATAAGTTGTGTGGTTCTCTACCTCTTTTTTTTTTTCATTTAAAGATTCATTTTTATTCCTTCTCATTTCTCATTTAAAATACAAACCGCATGTCTTGGAAAATGGTACATACCAAATGCCACCTACTCGCCCCTCACATAACACTTGCAGCAGTAGTTTATATGTTGTTACTATTCAGCATTCCAGCACAGTGAAAGTGCTTTGTGTCCATTTTTCTTTTTTTTTTAAGTGTATTATTGCACAACACCAAGGCCAAGCTCTGAGGCTCCCTCCCACAGCGGCACGGCTCTGCAGGCAGCACCATGCAGCACCCTTGACCTGCCCTGCCGGGTTGGCATCACGAGCAGCTTCCCCACCGCCTCCACCTGCTGCACAGGGCTCCTCTTCTGCTCTCACATCGGCCTGCAAAGCGCACGCAGCCGTAATGGCACCTCCGGCACCAAATCTCATCAGGAGATGCTATGCGAAGCTTTT